GCCCCCCTGACCCCCCTCCCCGCCTGCTTGGCACTATTAATAGAAACMAGGCTGGCCCAGAGCCCTGACACGGAGCTGGGGCTGTGATGGGACATGTCCTGCACGTGGCAGGGGGTGGGGATGCTGGTGACACCACGGCTGGGATTTGGGGTGTTCTGGGGTGGGGATGTTAGTGACACCATGGTTGGAGTTTGGGGTGTGCTGGGGATGCTGGTGACACCATGGTTGGGATTTGGGGTGTTCTGTGTTCTGGGGTGGGGATGCAGGTGACACCACACCTGGGTTTTGGGGTGTTCTGGGGATGCTGGTGACACCATGGCTGGGCTTTGGGGTGTTCTGGCATGGGGATGCTGTGAGTGACACCATGGCTGAGCTTTGGGGTGTTCTGGGGATGTTGGTAACATAATGGCTGGGGTTTGGTGACCAAGTGCAGGTTTTGACCGAGGTCCAGCAGCCCGTGGAGCTGGTGTTGCCCTCCAGGCTCACCCTGGGGTCTGTGTGCAGGGGCAGAGTTGCAGCACAGGAGGAGCACTCAGCAAACACCCCTGAGCCGTGCTGGGACAGCCCCTCACCCTCGGCTCTGCCACCCCAGGGCCTCCAGGCCATTTCTCCTTGTCCTAACCCTACAATCCCCCTCCCTGACGGGTTTTCCCTGCTCTTTCCAGTGCTGGACCAGCTCCTGCCAGAGCTCAGCATCCTGCTCAAGCTGCTGGACCACGAATACCTGAGTGCCACCACGCAGGAGAAGAAGCTGGCCGTGTCCACCATCCTGCAGAAGCTGCAGCCACCTGCAGGTCCGTGTCCCTGTCCTGTGGTGGCCACTCACTGTTCCCAGGGGCCGTGAGTGTCCCCATCAGGGCAGGGAAAAGCTTCTGCAGGGTTTCTGCAGGGCAGGGATGAGCCCAGCRGCTGCTCAGCCCCCTCAGGGGCTCCCTGCTGGCGCTGCCCAGCCCCTCCCTGGCCCGGAGCGGGACACAGGAGGRCTGCTCCCTGCGGAAACGCCGCTTCCCGGAGCTTTTCCTGCCGCGGGTTTGTGCTGAGCGCAGGGGTTTCCGCGGGAAGGCCGGCACCGTGCACCTGGGGCTTCACAGCCTTCCCCTTTCCTGCTCTCCTGGGGGAGCTCAGCATTCCCGGGGTTCCTCCACTGCTCTGGTGGGGTGAGCTGTGTCCCCGGGTCGGTGTTTGTGGGGACAAGCAGTGCCAGTGCCTGCCCCGGGCTCAGAGCATCCCCCTCCATTGCAGGGAAGGACGTGGATTACTTGTACGTCAACACAGCGTCCCTGGGCAATGGCACCAGCTTCGTGGAGTCCCTGTTCGAGGAGTTTGGTACGTGTGGCTGAGCTGGGGGCATGCCCCGGGGGTCACACTGCTCCTGGGTGCCCGCTGGAGTCCTTTGGAGGGAGGGTCCGGCTGTGTCCAGGGTGGGCATCCTCACCCTGGTGCTCGTTCCCAGTCTCCTGCAGCTGTTTGGGGCTGCCCACGGGGGATCCCCACACCGGGGATACCACCATCCCAAGGAAGGGTCACAGATATCCCTGGAGGGCACAGCTGGCATGGCACATGGCCAGCTCTGCTCTCCTGCTCCCTTCACCCTCCATTTCCCCCGGGCAGACTGTGACCTGCGGGACCTGCAGGACATGCAGGACGAGGATGGGGACCCCAGTGACAGCGCTGGCCTGGAGCAGACAGAGAAACCGGTGAGTGCCCAGCTGTCCCCGAGCCAGCCCTGCTGTGCCCTGCAGAGGAGGTGGCAGTGGCCAGGCTGGGACCCTGCTGTGTCCCTGCAGAGGAGGTGGCAGTGGCCAGGCTGGGACCCTGCTGTGTCCCTGCAGAGGAGGTGGCAGTGGCCAGGCTGGGACCCTGCTGTGCCCTGCTGTGTCCCTGTCCCTGCTGCTGCTGCCTGGCTCACGCTGGAGGTGTTTGTGCCACAGGTTCCTGCGGATCCAGCCCCTCCCCTGCCCACCACTCCCCCACCCGAGGATTACTACGAGGAAGCGCTGCCCCTGGGCCCCGGCAAGGCCCCCGAGTACATCACCTCCCGCAGTGAGTGCTGCTGCAGCCAGGGCTGCAGGAGGGCGGGGGGAGCCCCACAAGCTGCCCCCTG